GGGCTGGGAATAGGGTGTGCACTCATATCCACCAACAATCTTGTCATCATCCAGAGCAACTACACAAATGAGAGAGTATCGTCAGTATATTGACTATAATTATCTGCAAAATGAGTGAAAGTCATAACTGCAGTGAATCAATGAATGGAGAGCACTCACAGGCGGCTCCAAGGAGCACCAGGAACATCAAAGACCTCATGACTGCTGATTGAACCTGTTCCATTAAGGTCTCGCTCCTCACTCGCAGTATTTATGGAACTGTCAGCCTATGTATCCACGCCCAAGTGCTCCGCCATTGACCAATCAGCTCCAAAAGACCTGTCTGAATATGTATATTTTAGGCTTTGTGACCTTGACAGCAAGTTTCCAGCGGGAAACATGTTTTCGACAGCTGTCCATCTTCTCACCCATGGTTTGCATCTGAACATTTCTCTATATTCAATGTAATTTTGGGTGTGCTTAGTTTTTACATTCAGCAGTCATATTTCTGTATGTAGTACACACTGTTTATTACAGTATGTAGAGAGTATTTATTTCAATTGGATGATGAATGATGACATGTTCTTTCTGTATTGTCCATCCCATAATAGCAGTTTTGTTCAGATAATACAGGGGTCTGCGGAGTTCAAAAAATAATTTAACAGCTTGTTAAACATTTGTACATGTAATAACCCTCACAGCGGTCTTCAACGGATATGGAGATATTTTATTCTGTCAGAGAGTAGAAAGTTGATTAATTCAGTCCGCTGTTAAACGTTTGTTTAATTGAGTGTCTGATGTAAGTCTAAATCCTACAGAAACACATTTATATTGACAGCATGGAACACTTTACTGTTTTTAAGCACTTATTTCATTACCATCAGAGACCCTTGAAGTTGAAAATGCAACTATAATGCAACACAGTTAAAGACAATGTACAGGTAAAATGAGAATGTTTTATCTGTGAAATGTCCATTATCACTGCAGTTTTTTTTTTTACCAGTTGTGGGACATATTTATATCAACATATCCTATATCAGAATCAGAATCAGAATGAGCTTTATTGCCAGGTATGTTTACACATACGAGGAATTTGTTTTTGTGACAGAAGCTTCCACAGTGCAACAGAATCACAGTGACAGAACAAAAACACAGATAATAAAAATAGTAAATAGTAAAGTAAATAGGGAATAACAGTATACAGATTGACAATTGTATGTACAGATATATTACAATAGACAGTTTTGTATGTACAGGTATATTATGTGCAAATTCGAAAAGTATGTGTGTTAGATAAATAAGTATATAAGTGCACTTATATACTACACTATAAAATAGTGTTGTGTGTTCCACAATTATTGTCAAGTGTTCATGAGATGGACTGTTCCTGTGTCTGGCCGTTCTGGTGCGCAGTGCTCTGTAGCGCCGACCAGACGGCAACAGTTCAAAGAGGGAGTGTGCTGGATGTGAGGGGTCCAGAGCGATTTTGACAGCCCTTTTGCTCACTCTGGATAAGTACAGTTCTTGGAGAGAAGGGAGGGTTGTACCAATGATTCGCTCAGCAGTCCGGACTACCCTCTGAAGTCTTCTGAGGTCAGATTTGGGGGGGGAGTGCAGGGGGGTTTCTCCTGAAGCCCACGATAATCTCCACTCTTTTGAGTTTGTTCCGCTCCAGGTTGTTAAGACTGCACCAGACAGCCAGCTCTTTAACCTCCTGTCTGTAAGCAGACTCGTCACCGTCCTGAATGAGGCCGATAAGTATGGTGTCATTTGCAAACTTTAGGAGCTTGACAGAGGGGTCCTTTGAAGTGCAGTCGTTTGTGTAGAGGGAGAAAAGCAGTGGGGAGAGAACACATCCCTGAGGGGCGCCAGTGCTGATGGTGCCGGTGCTGGATGAGAATTTTCCCAGCTTTACTAGCTGCTGCCTGTCTGTCAGGAAGCTGGTGATCCACTGACAGACGGAGGTGGGCACGGAGAGCTGAGTTAATTTGGGCAGGAGGAGGTTTGGGATGATAGTGTTAAAAGCCGAGCTGAAGTCCACAAACAATATCCTCACATAAATCCCTGGTCTGTCTAGATGTTGCAGAACATAATGCAGTCCCATATTGATTGCATCGTCCACAGACCTGTTTGCTCTGTAGGCAAACTGAACAGGATCCAGCAAGGGTCCATGTCCTTCAGGTGGGCCAGCACCAGTTTTTCAAATGATTTATATAATCTCTATATCTATATAATCTCTATATAATCTATATAATCTCTATATCTATATAATCTCCATCTGAAATTGGCTGCTTTAAATATAATCCTATAAGTCATGTGCATAATGAAATCATTTTGTTTTTACATTTACATTTATTCATTTAGCAGAGCTTCTCATAGCTTCTCTTAACTTTCTCTTTTTTTAACTCTTTCCCAATCATTGATGGAGTTTTTAATATTTCCGTGTTTTTACTGTTATCAGACTACAGTTACTATTCGTTGATTACATGATTACTTTTCATGAATTACTTATTCATACAATAGTAATACATTATTCATAATTTATTGATTCTCTTTAATTATTCTTTTTCATCTTTTCAAATTTCCTTTCTAAAATAGCCTACCACTTATATACATTCACACAAAGACAAGTTACTACTCAGGTGACTATGATTACACAGAAAATTAAAAGGACACACAGCATTGGATTTACAGAAATCATTTCAAATTTAAGTAGTTTTCTCAAAATTTGAACTGCATCAACTACTGGTAAACACCTTCGTTTTTATTTGAATTATCGCTCAGTGCTTTATGCAACCATGTATTACTGTGTCTTTCGAAGTCATTTGTCTTTCAAACATTAAAATGCACAAATTCACATTTGTTGTTTACATGTAATGTAGGGATTTCCTTTTTTTTTTGTCAGCTGAACTTCTTTGACCTTATCTATTTCCCTGAAGCACCTGCTGATATTTTAAGATAATAAGTAAATAAGTAACTTTTGTCACAGTTCTCTGACCTTAGTTAATGGTCACATGACACTGTAAACAAATTAAATATTTCTTTTTTCAAGTAAATGTTTTATTTTGATTGTTGGTATTTTAAAATTATTTATGTTAATTTCACATTTCTATAATTTAATTATTAGCTTTTCGTTAAACTCACTAACCCCTGCAGTTCCTTCATAAACCCCATTTTGAGAAACCTTGAAATAATGTTCAGTGCACTCCATGTTGTTAATAACAACTTTGTCACGGTCACGGTGTGTGGAGGCAGGCAGGATGACGAGGACGACAAGGATTCAAATAATGATATTTAATGTAGACACAACAAGGCAGATTCAGGAAGATGAATCAGGAGCCCTTCCCGGGCTGAATTGGGGATCCGGAGCCCTTCCCGGGTTCGACAGGGGATCGGGAGCCCTTCCCGGGCTCGACAGGGGATCGGGAGCCCTTCCGAGGCTCGACAGGGGATCGGGAGCCCTTCCGAGGCTCGACAGGGGATCGGGAGCCCTTCCTGGGCTAAACTGAGGATTCCGAGGTCTCTCCTCCTCTTGATAGAATGTACAGAGGCAGTTGTCCAGGTAGTGCGTGAGGTGAGCCAGAGACAGAAAGTAATTTGTGTGGTCCTCAAGAGAGCGTTCCCCCTGCTCCAGCAGGAGGATGTGGAAGTCGGGGTAATCCATAACACGAAAAATAAAAACTGACAAAAAAACGGAAAAACAAGCGAGGGGAAAGACGCCGCTATACGTTACTTTTGGGTCGGTTAGTCTGTCACGGTGTGTGGAGGCAGGCAGGATGACGAGGACGACAAGGATTCAAATAATTATATTTAATGTAGACACAACAAGGCAGATTCAGGAAGATGAGACACACACTCAGGGTAATATTCACAATAACCGACAACCAAAGCTGAAACAGACAGGAAGGGAAGAAACCACAATAAACAGTCCACAGGGGCGTTACAAACTTCTTTCTCTTTGTATTTTTCTAACAGTGTGGTACAAGATTATCCTTTTAAATCAATGTGATAAACAAGTTACGTCATAAGTAATCCAAAATGTAATCAAAATGTAGTCTGATTATATTACCTAAAATGTGTAATGGATTTCGTTACTAACTAAAATTTTTGTCATTTAATTTGGAATTAGTAGCTACTACAATTTGTAAGTAATCTACCCAGCATTGCTAACAAATATCAATAACAATATACCGTATGCTTGTCTTTAAAGGAGACATAACACACAGTTTCTCTCATATTAATCTTGAGTACCTATAGAATAGTATTGCATCCTTCATATCCCTGAAGAGTTTTTAGTTTTATCAGACTTATAAAAGAAAGATACAGCTGTACCACTTCTCTGCGAAAACAGTTGAGGTCCTCGAGGCGTCCATGGGCGGAGCTAAGGAGTCATGAGCGTGCACAGCTTTCGCGTAGCTTTTGTTCTTTGGGAAGCTGAACAAGGTTATCTTTCCCTCATGACCAAAACACATTTATTTGGTGACTGTTGATTTTGTGGTCAACAACAAAACGTAAAGTCCTTCTTGAGCAAGCCCTGTGCAGCGCTGCCGACGTCTTCCGTAATCTGAATGAAACACGTCGATGGGTGTGCTCTTGCTCTCGTTTTGGTTTATGTGTGCAAGCCTCTTTCTAGAGAGATCTGCACATAAAAGGAATTCCGCCCTTTATGACGTCATACAGGGCTATACTCAAAAAAAATCTTTCCGAAACTTATACAAACCCTGAAGGAGTTTCTTTGGCACAGAAATACTCCGTCAAACGTCCAACTCTTTTTTTTAAACTTTGGTAATGTTTAGCATAAGAATCCAACTTTTTAGCAGTGTAAATAAGTCAGAATGCATGAAATAGTATAGACATCTCCTTCAACATTTCTTTTGTTGGACATTCCTAAATGCTTGTTTCTCTTTGATAGGATAACTGTGTTTCTTCATAAACTGCTTGTCAGTATTAATTTCTAGAAATATTGAAAACTTTGTTGTGAGTTGCTTTGTCAAGTAATTTTTGCTAAGAGCATCATACATTTAAATGTCGGTCTGTTAAAGTGCTTAAAACAATATATTCAGTGTTACTTGACAAATATGAATGAAGCACTTGCAAAAAGCAGAATATTTTAAATGCTTTTATTTTCACAGGTTTTTAATCTCCAAAACAAAGAAAAACTGATGGATTGCAGATTTGGAGGCTGTATGTGATTTTGTATCAGCTTTAGTTGTTACTCATGGTGTCGGCGATCCATTGGCTGAACATGCAGACCTTGAAGAAAAGAGAATTCATAAAAATCATATAAGTGCTTCATATTAAACTAAACATATTGCTTTGCAACAATTATTAAACAACAACAGCTATATTACCTTGCCATAGACACCAGGATGATCCTTCTCAGCACAGCCATAACCCCAGGACACAATACCCTGCAGCTCACCATTGCACAAAATGCAACCGTCAAGGTTTAACGCTTACCTGCTGAAGGGCAACATCCCTCGAAATGCCAGCCACCGAACCTCGTTGGCGTGTTGCGCTGACTGTCAACTAAAGATGACACAAAGCAACAAACGAAATCGAGACCCCATTCAGTCAAGCCAAACAGCCTATATACCCTCCCACTGGCTGCGGATAGGGCAGCCCATGAGCGAACGACCGACCTCTCACACCATAATCGCGGAGATAGACCAGTTGACCCTCCCCCAGTGGTGTATTTCGAACATGTGGATCATGCTGCGCTTTTCGGCGCTCCGCAGCAACTCTCAAGTGCTCCCGTGCCCCTTCAAAAGCCACCTGCAATCGGGTTTGATGCTCTATGACCCACTCATGTACATTACCTGCAGCAGTCTCCTCCACTCTACCTAACAAAAAGTCAACCGGTAGACGAGGCTCTTGGCCAAACATCAAATAAAATGGTGACTCACCGGTCGATTGATGGGGGGTGGTATTGTAACTAAACAATACCCGAGGAAGACATGAAGCCCAATCCCGCTTACTTGAGGGAGGCAAAGTTCCCAAACGGACCTCCACACGTCTGAAAGACAAAGTCTAATATTATTCAGAACTGAGGAAACCTATGGACTGATACATGAACTACTTTATGAATACATCACTTATGACATGTAGCAGTGGGCAGCAGACACAACCCAGTACTCGCTGACCAGAGAGCCACCGCAGAAGTGGTAGCCAGAGTTCAGAGACACCTGCCAGGGCTGGGAATAGGGTGTGCACTCATATCCACAGTTGGCGAACTAACTCAGTCGTACGCTCTATGCCCTGGTGTCCGTGCTCCTGGTGCAACCACCTTAAAACATCTAATCTTAACTCCGAGGGTAAAAGCACTTGAAAGGTTTCCTCCCTACCATCAAGGCGGAAAATTCGGCGGTACAACACACCTTCACGTTCCACCAGACGGTCCCACTGGCGAAGTAAGGTCAGGCTGCTCTTAGAAAAAGAACGGCGCTCCTCCAAGCTGGGAAAGATCTAGTATCGTCAGTATATTGACTATAATTATCTGCAAAATGAGTGAAAGTCATAACTGCAGTGAATCAGTGAATGGAGTCTATAACTCACAGGCGGCTCCAAGGAGCACCAGGAACACCAAAGACCTCATGACTGCTGATTGAACCTGTTCCATTAAGGTCTAGCTCCTCACTCGCAGTATTTATGGAACTGTCAGCCTATGTATCCACGCCCAAGTGCTCCGCCATTGACCAATCAGCTCCAAAAGACCTGTCTGAAGTCTAATAAAGAATACGCTATCATTATGTTTCCAGGAAGAGAAAACTGTATGTTAGGGTTGCATTGGCACCCAGTGTATAGAAAATATATAATATCAAGATATATATATTTTTTAGACTTAATTTTCACATATAAAGCCAAAACCTCAATAACAGTGAAAATCCATCTGCGATACAATAATATTAATATTATAGGGAACAAATTAGAGCACAAAATTACATTTTTAAACAGTGTAGATGAAACTGTGTGTCAATGTTTGATACAACCAGGGAGATCCAGCAGCTATGCTGTTGAATATGTATATTTTAGGCTTTGTGACCTACACAGCAGGTTTCCAACCCTGAAAGAAGTTTTGATCAGCTGTCCATCTTCTCACCCAGGTTTTGCGTCTGTACTTGTCCCTGACTGTTTCACAATTTAGTCGAAAAACAGAACATTTTTCCTGGTAATTTTTCTCACAAGAAGTTAATAGATTGGTTGTAGTATTTCTAAATCCAGTTTAAATTTCCAGTATGTCCACTTAAAAAGATGTTTACTCTGTTTGTGGCAATTTTGTTGTTGTTGTTGTTTGTGAAATTTTATTTTACTCATGAGTTGTCTTTGTCAATGATTTCACTGCTAAACAAAGTTGTTCATGTTATTGATACCTATTATAGCTTATGTTTAAATCATATGCAATCAGTATTTGTGCTTCATGCAACTGTTTTTTGTGCTTTTTATAATGCGAAAATCTTATTAGCTTTAGATTATATGTGCAATTAGAATATTTAAATTACACTACAATTAGAAATATCTGAAATTGTTACAAATAATTTTTTTTTTAAATGTTAACAAAATTGTTAAAATAACAAGTAAATGTTAACCTTTGCAGTATCTTAGTAAATTTTATTAAGAAATTAATCAATTAAAATAAAATAATTAATTAAAATAGAAAAACAAGAAATTCATACATAAATAGATTTATGAATTTGCATTTAACTGATTTTATTTTTATCATGAATAGACCTTAACAAAAATTTTCAGCAGGTGAGATATAATTATGCTGCATGTGCAGTACATGTGCGTATATTCACATGACCTAAAACATGCTATCTAAAGGTTATGCGAAACACATTTGATCCCATTGTCATTTCACATTTACACCTTGGATAGGATGTTAAGTCCAGTTTAATCAAAGCCAACTGCAATGTATATTAATTACCAAGAATTAGATTTTGACTATTAATCATTTAGTTTGTTACAGAACAGTACATATGTTTCACATATGTTTATCGTAAAAAAGCTTCATTTATAATTATTGTAAAATTACTTACAACATACAACAACTGCTTATTAAATATTGTGCCCTAAAGCCTGACACATGTTAAAGTCATCTGGAAACAATAGATGCACAGGTCTAACATTTTAATTTTGCTAATGGCAGAGTAAATGATCCTTTGCTTATGATATTCTGTTTTGATTTCCTGGCTCCACACGGTTAACATCAGTGTTCATGACATTAGTCTTGACAGATGGATATTGTACATTTTATCAGTTTTTTTTTTCTTTAAGAAAGAGTCTAGATTTTTTCCTGCATTATTTACAAAAAAGAAAAACATGCACAAATGTCTTACATCAACAGATTTATTCTTTATTGATTCTCACATTCAGTTAGGAAGATCTTGTAAGTCACAATTTTTAATATAAGGTCAATTCAACCAATGATAAAAAGGAGTAGTGGAATAAATCGTACATGTATATTGTAATTGATAAGGTCCTTTTTGTCAGGGTTAGTGTTAGGGACAAGGTATGCCGCACAGCACAGTCGCAGTCAGGCTGTATGGGAATGACGCTGAAGCCAGTTAGAATCAGCAGCTACAGAAAGAAAGAATTAAAACCCAAAAACAATTTTCTCGAGTTGTGGTGTCTTGTCTAGTGACACTGCACATGGCAGCAGCAGGGGCAGAGCTGCTGGGCAGAGCAATATGCTGCATATACTGACTGATCAGCATCAAGTCACTGTAGAGTCACTAGAATCACTGCTTAGAACCCTCATTCAGTACAGTGTTGTGCTCACCCAAAAATCTCAGCATGACAGCTACATTTGTTACGATTGTTAGATTTTTGAAATTGTCACAGAGTGGAATGCATCAAATGTTCTCAAGAATTAATAGTAAACTATATGTTAAAAAGGAAATTATATATATATATATATATATATATATATATATATATATATGTGTGTGTGTGTGTGTGTGTGTGTTTTTTTCGAAAGAGCATCAGCATTACCGTTACTCTTCCCAGGTCTATACCGAACTTCAAAGTCAAAGGCAGCAAGCTGGGCAGCCCAACGCTGCTCGGTGGCCCCCAGCTTTGCTGACGCCAAATGACTCAACGGATTATTGTCAGTATAAACAACACATTTGTGCCCCAACAAATACTCCCTGAACTTTTCGGTCATTGCCCACTTGAGCGCAAGAAACTCCAATTTCATGGAGCTATAATTTACCATGTTGCGCTCAGTGGGCCTCAAACTACGGCTGGCGTAGGCCACGGGTCGGACCTTCCCCTCCTGCTCCTGAGAAAGCACTGCCCCCAGCCCCTTGTTACTCGCATCGACTTCAAGAATGAACGGCAATGAGAAATCGGCATATGCAAGGATGGGCGCAGTCGTGAGCTTCTGTTTTAAAGTGTCAAAACTTTTGGCAATGCTCAGTCCATGCACTGGAAAAATTCCGCCCTGACGGTTTCTTATGCCTGCCCCCAACCAACTCTGCCACCAGCCTATGCAGAGGGGCTGCCAATTTGGCAAACCCCGCCACAAAGCGGCGGTAGTAACTGGCAAAGCCCAAAAAGGAACGGAGCTCTGTAACATTTCCTGGACGGCTCCATTTTGCTACCGCCTCGACTTTACCTGGATCCGTGGCCACCCCCTGGGAAGAAACCACATGACCCAAGTATGTTACCTGCTCTTTGAAAAACTCACATTTCCCCAACTTCGCCTTGAGGCCCTCGCGCTGCAGTCGACTCAAAACCACCTCCAACCATTCCAGATGTTGAGTCACTGAGGAGGAAAATACCACAATGTCATCCAGATATAAAAGTAACGACTGATGCCGCTGGTCACCAAACAATCTTTCCATCAAACGTTGGAAAGTGCTGGGGGCATTACAAAGCCCAAAGGGCATTCTATTCCATTCAAATAACCCAAATGGGGTACAGAATGCAGTCTTGGCCTTATCCCCCTCAGTGACTGGAACTTGGTTGTACCCACTGGCCAAATCCATAGTGGAGAACCAGCGGGCCCCTGTCAAGGCATCCAAGGTTTCCTCGATGCGAGGCAGCGGGAACGCATCCTTCCTTGTTTTTGAATTCAACTGACGGTAGTCTACGCACATGCGGAGACTGCCGTCCTTCTTTTTAACTAAGACAATGGGAGAGGCATAAGGACTGCAACTCTCCCGGATAATCTGGGCCTCAAGCAGCTGGTTAATATGAGTCTTCACCACATCATAGTCTGATGGGGGCAGGCGCCTATATCGCTGCCGGACCAGGACATCATCTACAAGGGGAATGGTATGAGAAATCAGGTTGGTACACCCCAGATCATTGTCATAAGCAGAAAACACAGACTGATATTTTTGTAACAAAGCCCTAACCTGACCTTGTTCTTCCAAACTGAGAGCAGATAAATCAATAGACTCCATCTGTTCCTGTACAGTAGGCTCTACCGTACAACCTTGCGACCCCACCGTAGCAAACACCTCCTTTACCTCGGTCACCCCTGGAGGCAAGCTAACCACGTACAATTGGGGAATACATAAAGTGATTCTTCTTGAACAGGCAAACAGACACAGGAAGTGCTTGTAATACCAAGTTTTATGTATTGTTCAAATAAGTACAAGCTAGAAAGGGAAGGAGTAAATAAAGAGAAAGACAGTTTATATACTGTACATTTATATATACACACACACACACACACACCGCTCTGTAGCTGGCCCAGTGTGTTGTGATTCGCTAAACTGTCAGTGCACTTCTAATCATCATGCCCCTCACCTCAGAATGTGCTCTGGTTGTATTGTAAACAATGGCGTCGTTAATATCGCTAATCAATTTGAGCCCGAATGAGACCCTGAGGATATTAGTGAAGAGGACTGCGCAGAGCCTGTGCAAGCACATGGCTCTTAATGGTATGTTTTTTGTTTGTTGTTGTCTCATACTTTTAGATACGCTGTTATTTGTAAATGCTACTGCCACAGCCCCAGGAAACTGCCGTTTAACTTTCTCCATGAGGCCCATTAGAGCAAAGGAGAACTCCAATAAACTCTTCCCCTTCAACTGCCTCCTGGAGAAAAAGGCTTCCTGCAGGGCTACGTGGGACTGAGAGCAACCAAAAACCTAACGTAATGCAAGGAAAATCTTTTCCGAATCCCCCTGTTCCTCTTCCGAACGATACCTGATCTCCTCTCATGCTTCCCCCTCTAAATGGTCAATTAGAAAGAAAGCCTGGTCAGATACTGACAAGTGACGAGCCCGAATACAGGCCCGTGCCTCCTCAATCCATTCGGTAAGGCCAATTCCTGACTTGCCGTTAAACTTGGGACATTTACGGTCCCTAGGCACAAACACAAATCTTTCAGGCTGGCTAGCACCCGCATTGACTAACTGAGGTGTAACAGGGGTTGCTTCTTGTTGTTGTCTCATACTTTTAGATACGCTGTTATTTGTAAATGCTACTGCTTATGTTAACTTCTAATATACGGTTTTATCCTGATTAAAGCTTTAATACAGCACGGCAACCGCATGCACATACATGTTTAACGCTTCTCATAGCTATGTAAAAAAATATCTGTCTGTCTATACACAAAGTGTATAATTGGAACTATAGAGTGAAAACAGTATCAAATCCTCCCACCAGGGGCGCCGCTAAGGTGGGGAAAGTTAGGACGATTCTAAGGGCCCACGCACTTTTGGGGCCCCCAGAGATCTGCCCGAATACAGGCCCGTGCCTCCTCAATCCATTCGGTAAGGCCAATTCCTGACTTGCCGTTAAACTTGGGACATTTACGGTCCCTAGGCACAAACACGAATCTTTCAGGCTGGCTAGCACCTGCATTGACTAGCTGAGGTGTAACAGGAGCTGATTCGGGCACATCAGGACCTGCCGCAAAAGGAGCGGGCAACGCAAGGGCACGCTCTCTGCGCAGCCTCTCATTGTCCACCTTCAACTGAGCCACAAGTTCTCCAAGTTCCCCAAGTTCGTCCTCCATTATTAACCCAGCACTTACCACCACATTTGATTTTTGCTATAGAAAATCTACAAATCCACACTCTGATTACATAGAGCAGCAGCAGGAAGCGCCGTGAGGTTGTCATGGCAACCAGATACACTACTCGCGAATTACGGCTGTACTTCTATTTTGCCACACTAAACTTAGCAATAAACACGTTGAAAATAATACATCCTGCCGACTACGCCAGAATGTGGCAGGGGGAGGGAACGAGTTCTAATTAATACCAAGCGACTGCGCCACCCTGGGTATGGCCCAGGGACCAATACCAAATAAAGTACTTTCTGAAAGCACACAGGTTAGTTCACTAGCAGTAGGCAGGAGACGTAGATATAAAAAAGGTACACATTTTATTAAAGATAGTTGAAAATACAAAGACCAAAAATGCCCCCTCAAGACAAGACAAAACAAACTTATTGAGATACAGTAAGAAAAGATAACCAGGGTCGTCAACACATAAGTGTCCTGGTGCAAGAGCCGAGGCTTACCAGCAGGGAATACGGCCAAGTTGGCATAATACAACCTCCACAGCAAGTCACCTCCCCTTATACCTGTGCACCCACACTCACACAGCAAACACACTCCACTCCTCCACGCTTCACACAACACTCGTGACAAGAGGACCGCCACCAGAAAGAGACTGATCCCGCTCTGCTTTAACGCGCGTCTGGCGGATGCACCGGGTAGCGCCGCTTCACACTTTTGGAGTACTTGCTTTTTGCAGTTTCGCGTGGGCTGTAATTTAAAAACAGCGCCTAATATAAGGTCTCCCTCGCTTCGGCGATCGGCCCACCGGGAATGTCCCGGTGCTCCCGATGGCCAGTAGCTACATCGCTGGGTATGTTCAAGTAAGCTAGATATGCCCAGATGATGCGCAATTAGGCTTATTTAATATATTATGATGAGTCTCGAGTTCAGTATTTACACTAAATCTGTGCAGATTTGGCTTACATGAACTTCCTCAAGAAATTAATTAGTAAACATAATTTACGAAAAGTAACCCGCCAAATTGGCTAGTGATTTGAC